GAAAGAATTTCAATATTTATTATAAAATCTCATGAAACTCGAAAAGTTTTATTAAATTTTTACAAATTTCTGAACGTTTTTCATCAAATCATTAACTAAATAGTATGTGAGCATTTATTTTTCTTCATAGATAACAGATATTATCAGTTGGTAGACAGTATGTAATGTGTTTATATTCCAAATTAATTCATTCTATTATCCTTATCTCGGCTACAACACTTATCTGCAAATTCATTCAATTTCCAATCTTTTATTTATTCCTGTGCTTTTAACAGAAAAGGTATTATCGATATTTAATTATTTCCTTTTCATAGTAATTATAATTCTTATAAATATATTTAAAGTTATNGACCTATATTAAGATGCATCTTGCATTTTATAGATTAGGAGAGAGCCTGACATACAATTGAATAACTAGCATAAATAAGGAATGGGAAACGAAGTCCCAATCCGAACTATAGATGAAAAATCACGAAATTCAAATGGGATTCGAACCGGGATGCTTATAGTGACAGGAGAATTCCTTGTTGAGAAAGTGTTCAACCGACAATAAATCTTGTCAAATTTTATTTTTCATATAGTATTCTTTTTAAATTAAATTTCTTTACAATTGTATTTTTTTAATATATATTTATATACATAATTTGAAATAAATATGGAAATAGTAAAACAATATAATTTATTTCAATACAGTTATAAATCATTTCTCTTCATAAATATTACTAAATTTCTTCATAAAATATTCATAAACAGGCTTTAAAATAATTTCAACTGAATGATATTTTTTATGTACTTTCTACAATTTACACTTATTCATTTTAATAGGAAATAATAATAATAATAATACACGCCAATTTATTTAATTTTTTTTTACTTTTTAAATCTTTTGTATTCAGGAAAGGAAAGTTTCAAAAGGATCGTATTAGCATGGATATTTCTTGTCAAATAATTTTTGATATTTTAGTGATAAACGGTGATAGCCGTAATAATAAAATGATCGTAAATGTTACGAATTTCATTACGGTGGTTGCATTTAATAATTTTATTTCATTTTTATTGCACAATTCTGAAAGTCCTTTATTCAAAAATATCTTGGTTTCGAAAATTCGAGGAAACTCAATGATATTTTTATCTCTTTAAATTTTGTAATTTTAGGAAATTTTGATAACATAAAAGTAGATTTTCTATATATATACGTCTCCTTTTACGTTATCGCCTCAATAAATTGTTTAAGTAGATTTGTTTAAACTCTTCGTTTTCTAATGAAATATTTATTTTGAAAGCATTTGTTTCCAAATTAATATGGAATAAAATTTCATTTTTATGCCATAAAAATCGAATTTGAATCTTCGTAAATGTTTACTGAAGCTTTCATCTTTCTCGATGTAAAATGACTAATTGATTATGAATAATTGGTATGCTGAAGAGAGATATTCGATTTGAAATGAGAAACTTTTACGAATTTTTATACGTTATATTATAAAATTTATACGTAATTTATACAGAATTATAGCTTTATAGAAGTGAATAGAAAAGTTATAATTTTATACATTTTCTAATAATATTCAAAAAAATAATTTCTTAAATTATGAAGATTTAAAAAAAAATTAAATGTGAAGTTATTTTAAAATTTAATTTTTGCATTAAAATCGTAAAACTTTATTTTAAAAAATATTATTTTTTTATTTTATTTCGAAAATAATTCGTCTTAATCTTGTTAAATTTTCACAAATTTTAAAGTTTTTTAGCATTTAATTTTCTTGATATGTTTATTGTTTTCCTTTTTTCTTCAATACGAAAGATTAAAATAATATTCTTATTGATTGATTTGTTTCATTTCAACATAAATCGATGTGACAAACTATTTTTACCATTTCAATTCGCTATTGAACATATAAAAAATATTTTTTGTTTGCATAATCCTGTTTATCTGCGAGTTTGTTTTCCTTTTTTTTGACTGAATTTCAATATTCTTTTATATAATATTAATATTCTGATGGATCAATATTACATACAAAATTTATTTTAGAATTTCATATGTCAATACAGTATAATATTTTTGCAGTTTGATCCTGTCGTTTTAATAAATTTTTATCTTTAAGTAAGACATCAATTACTCCCATGTAAATATAACTAATATATCTTAAATAATTTCATGTTACATTATTCAAAATCCTATTAAAATAGTAATAACAGAAAATAATCACGCTATTTTATTAACAAGTTTATGCAGATTTAAATCGTAAAATATTAGTTTTTTTATTTATTTAGAGAGAAATAACTTGTTTTAAGCACTACCCAATACCATTAACATGTTTTTTAATTAAACAATTAATAACTTAAAAATTAGTTTTATTAATATAACATAATAGTTATATTTTATTTCCAGTACAAACAATATGCTATATAAAATTATGTTGAAAAAAGTCAAAATAGCCATTACCAATCTTATAAAAAGTAAAAATATTACAAATTTTTCATTAAATTAGAAAGAATTTTATTCATTGTACTACGATATTGATAATAGAAGAATACATTAAAATTTCATGCAGTAGTATCAATTTTCCAATGAAAGAATTTCAATATTTATTATAAAATCTCATGAAACTCGAAAAGTTTTATTAAATTTTTACAAATTTCTGAACGTTTTTCATCAAATCATTAACTAAATAGTATGTGAGCATTTATTTTTCTTCATAGATAACAGATATTATCAGTTGGTAGACAGTATGTAATGTGTTTATATTCCAAATTAATTCATTCTATTATCCTTATCTCGGCTACAACACTTATCTGCAAATTCATTCAATTTCCAATCTTTTATTTATTCCTGTGCTTTTAACAGAAAAGGTATTATCGATATTTAATTATTTCCTTTTCATAGTAATTATAATTCTTATAAATATATTTAAAGTTATTTCGGAAGTTTTAATGGATAACTTTTCGAAACATTAGGAGTTTATTTAGCATTAACAGTAATAATTAAATACTAATATAAGAATAAAAATGTAAATACAGGAATGGGAGGCATTCAGATGACTACTCACAAGTGTTTGTTAATTTTAAACTATTAATTTTTCCAAAACAGTGAATTAATTTTATTGTGAGGGTTGATCTTTTAGCTTTTAAGATTAACAATTTATTAGAATTTTAAACTGGTATTCTAGCAAAATTTACTTATACCTTAAGTAATGACAACATTGACTTAATTACCCATTCCTCCACTTTGATTGATCTTTCCATTAAAATGAAAGTTTAAAATTATTTGAAGTTTGTTTATATTTGTTCTTGTTCTTCTCCTTCTTATTATTATTTTAAATCATTACGAGTTATCTCTTTTATAATTATTTTATCTAAACATACTTTAATTAAAAGTATTTCTTGTCAAATAATTTTTGATATTTTAGTGATAAACGGTGATAGCCGTAATAATAAAATGATCGTAAATGTTACGAATTTCATTACGGTGGTTGCATTTAATAATTTTATTTCATTTTTATTGCACAATTCTGAAAGTCCTTTATTCAAAAATATCTTGGTTTCGAAAATTCGAGGAAACTCAATGATATTTTTATCTCTTTAAATTTTGTAATTTTAGGAAATTTTGATAACATAAAAGTAGATTTTCTATATATATACGTCTCCTTTTACGTTATCGCCTCAATAAATTGTTTAAGTAGATTTGTTTAAACTCTTCGTTTTCTAATGAAATATTTATTTTGAAAGCATTTGTTTCCAAATTAATATGGAATAAAATTTCATTTTTATGCCATAAAAATCGAATTTGAATCTTCGTAAATGTTTACTGAAGCTTTCATCTTTCTCGATGTAAAATGACTAATTGATTATGAATAATTGGTATGCTGAAGAGAGATATTCGATTTGAAATGAGAAACTTTTACGAATTTTTATACGTTATATTATAAAATTTATACGTAATTTATACAGAATTATAGCTTTATAGAAGTGAATAGAAAAGTTATAATTTTATACATTTTCTAATAATATTCAAAAAAATAATTTCTTAAATTATGAAGATTTAAAAAAAAATTAAATAAAGTAATATATTGTATATAATAATTATTTGTTTGATATAAATGTCTTTAATTTGATACACAGTTGCGTTGTATCCAAACATTTTATTTTTCAATGAAAATTACCATTTGTGATTCAAATGTCTTATCTGCTCACACCTTTGTTTTTTCGTTCCTGTTTACTTCTATGCATGGAAAATTCAGGAATATTATGTATAAAGTATTAGCTCTAGAGTTTCAAGTTAGTTGCAACATCCATACACTTATTCAGAAGATAAGATTCACGACCTCCCCGAAAAGAAAATTTATATCTTACGCTTTCAACAAAGAAAAAACATAATATAATTGCTGTGTTTAGTGTTACCTTTAAACAAATATTTATTTCTTTAATAAATAATATTAACTAACGAAGAGGAAGAGAATTAATATCTCTTAATATGTAAACGTAAATATAAATTTTACGGGATAACACTTGAAGAGATTCCGGAAAATCTTTAACCATATGTGGAAATTATTACAGCGTGTAACTCAATTATCTTGTAATTGAAGCTAATACTTCATTTACATGAAAATCATTCATCCTTAGGAGATTTAATTACAATCGATGGTAAGATTGAGATTGTATTCCAGTAATGACAATTGCCGGTCTTACAAGTTTTCTGGAGTAATTGTTCCATTCATATAATCTACAAGTAATAATGATTAGCGACAACGAAAACTCATTGAGAAAGCATCGATGATAGAAATTATTATAATAACATTGGCATCTTCTTAAATTAGCGAATTCTTAAAGTATCGTCTCTAATTAGTAATTATTTTTCATTTTCTTGTTTATCTTGTTATTCAACTAATTAAACATGATGTTGTTTGTTGGAATGTTATTACGTTATTTGTTAGATTAAACGTACGATTTGGTGACATTCTAACAATTAATTTTTATTTTGTATTATCTACGGAAAACGAACAGGAAACTTGAAATCTTTATAACTTGCAGACTAATTAGTGCTTCTTACAGAGTTGATATAGAGAACCAGCGATGAAGACATATATTGCAACCATAATTTGCATCTTTTTTCTCTGCTTTTCTCAAGATTCAGCCCAACGTAAGTTACTTTTCTAAATAAGTTACCATTCTTCTAATAAGATTTAAATAGTTAAAATAATTTTAAATAGTAATTGTAATGGGTTTCCTTTAAGTCACACAAAGTTAAATTGATTATTGTGACAACATACACATATATAAGATATTAACTTTCATTGGATCTTAGTAATAATGGTGTTGATAAGTGTTAAAGTCAAATTTATAAACTTTTAAAACAAAAGTAAGAAGAATATTATTTTACATTTAATACAATTTTTAATAAATACTGCAGATAATATTCGCTTATTTATCATAAAAATTATAATTATGATGCAACTATAACTTATATCGTTTCAGCATTAATTTGTGATGAAGGGCAAGAATTAATCGATTGCATTACTCCTTGTGGACCTAGGAGATGCAGTACGTATCTCGAGAACACCATACATCCGGAACGATGCGCCTCCATATTGTTGCCATTATGCACAATAGGATGCCAATGTAAAGACGGAAAATTTTTGAATGATGAAGGAGAATGCGTCGAACTTATCAATTGTTCCTTGGATTTTTCGGATATTTAATTTTTTTCTTATGTTTCTTATTTTAAAAAATATGTATAAATTTAAACCAGCGGTCCCCAACCTTTTTATCGCCGCGGACCGGTCAACGTTTGATATTTTACCGCGGCCCACTGAGGGGAACGNTATTTTCTTCAAATTTTTTTTTGTGAATTTCGATATGATATTTAAAATTACCTTGAAATAAGAAATGATATTTTATAAGATTAATTTATAATGCACTAATTTAAAATAAAAATTGCATCTCCAAATCTTTAATTAATTAGTAATCAACCTGTTCCTTCTGTTATAAATGTTTCTTATTTACTTCATCAAGTTAAAAACATAATAAATATCTGGTAGGCCTAACTGAAAAATTCTTTTGTAATATCTCGAAACTCATTGACATTTATCAAGTGGTTTGAAAATCCTACAGGATCTGCAAGATCTACATATTATAAAACAGTAATTACAGATAAAATAACTTTAAGGTATTTACAATAAATGCTATTAAATATCACAGAAATACTGTCTAATAGTGGTACTGTATGTTATAGCTTCATGGGGCTAACGCAAATTTAAATTAGGGAGCTTCCATGTACTGTAAGTTTTGACTTCAGACATTTTACTTTGAAAAAATTATTTTGAGAAAATATTTTCTTATAAAAGATTAGTTTGGGACCTCCTGTTGGTGGGGTTCTAGGTAATTGCCCTTTTTGTCCGTAAGATAACGCGCTACTGAGATATATAATTTATAATGCAGTATTCATTTTGGTATTGTTTAATAGTATTTACTGGCAATACTTATGAAAACATACGTAATTCAGCACCTAACTTATAAAAACGTAATTTTAGGAAACTTGAGCTTCTAATTGGTGGCTGACTTCGGAACAGCGATAAAATCAATTTACATACTTCCACATAAGTATAGAATCGCCATTTTTCTCGCAAGTTTCAAGTGTGAAATTTTTTTTCATCATTGTTCGTGTTATTCATTTAATAGACTTTGAGAAAGGACAAATTGTAGCTTTGAGAAGCATTGGTTTAAGTCATCAAGTAGTAGCAAACAGTATCAAGCATTCGACTAAGGTCGTTCAGCATTATTTGTCAAATGCTGCAAATTATGGGCCAAAGCGTAGAAGTGGACGTTTTTTAAGCTTACCCCGCGAGACCACAGACGAATTGTTAATGCAGTCTCTAATTTCACCGCGTCCACGCGTCAAATTTGGGACGATTTGAATATTCAAGTACATTACGAAACCAATCAAAGGGTTTTACACAACAACATTGTTCGGTCTCGAATGAGAAGTGCTCCTGCTCTTAAGCCTTATATTTTTTTCCTAGCAAAGTGGTTATATTTTTCCTAGATTTTGCTAGGAAAAATATGACCACTCAATGGAATAAGGTAAGTTTTTTGTTTCGTTCAGTCCTATCGTGCTAACACAAGAAATAACAATCCTTTTGTCTCTTAGGTAATCTTTTAGGATACCAAATAGTGGTGTAAAAATAAACGGATTGAACTCCTGAATTTGCCAGTTCGTTCTCCTGATTGCTATCCTATGAAAAACATTTGGGGGATCTTAGTTCGCCGAAGTTATGACCAAAATCATCAGTACGCGCCGTTGAACACTTAAAACAAGTAATTGTCACTGTTGGAACTCTCTTGAGGCTTCGATCATGAAAAACCTTGTTGATAGCATGTCATATCGCATTTTATATGTTATTAGTATACAGGAAGTACGCAAATAAATTACTAAATTAAACTATTTCGTAGTATTTAATGCTTTTTCCATTCATTTACTAGTCGATTCTATACGTTTGTGGTGCTTAAAATCAGTTTTTTTTTTTAAATACAATTTCTGCTGTTCGCTGCGATGTAGGAAACTATGAGTTTCGACAAATTATGTTTTCATAAATCCTGAACAATATAAGGTAGCTAGCTATATCATACATGTAATTCCTAACCTTCGTAGTAAATTTTCAGCGGTTCTATACTTTTGCGGAGCATCTTAGTAACAAATGCTAGATCTATAACATACCAGAAATTATAATGTAACTTGGCTGGAAACATTTTTAAATTTACAAACTTTTTCAATATCTAACTTCAATATTTACGTTTCAAATTTTCTATTTAATTTAAGGATTTAAAGTGCCGTTTATAATACTTCCCACCTGTTTTCTGATACAATATTTTTCGCTTTGAAATACTTTTTTCCAATACTCATTACGGAAATAATACTTTATTTGGTTTGTGAAATTATTATTCACGGTTAATTTTAATTTAACATATTGATAAAGTTATACTTTCTTGTACTTTGAGTGTAAAAATTATTGCTAACCAATTGTTTTTCTATGTTTCTCGGAAGCAATTTTTAGCCATTTTATACTAAATATTTTGCATGTACCGGTACGTTTTAAAAATTTATGCAATCCTTTATTTATCTCAAATAAATAATTTGAATTGAAAAACTTAACTTGATCTCTTTTTAAAGTTGATTGAAATAATACTTTCAATTTTTTAATGTAACATCAAATAAATATTTATTTTAATGTTTGAAATCACACTACTTTATCCATTATAAAATTACATTTTTTGATATTTTAATATACCGGAGCACTTTCCTTGATGGCAATATTTAATAAAAGATTTAAATTTCATGTTTGGAATTTCAATAATTGTTTACCAATTTTTTTTTATGAAACATCAATGAAATTCATTCATTACATATTTCATTTTCTTTTCATTTTTTAGTATATTTTAGATTTTAATCTATAAATTCATCAAGTATTTTCCACAAGACTTGTTTCTTGAATTGTTTCATAAGCATCTCTCTGGATTGTTCACTATCAGAGTCAAATGAGTTAATCGTTTTGATTAATTTTTGCAAACCGAGCTAAACCCAATATTAGGGACAAAGAACGGCTTAAAAGGTTTTTGAGAGCGACAAACAGTAAACATCGTAAATTCTTTCAAGTGAAGAAGAGGATGGGTTCGTTGGCACCTCTAAATTTTGTATTCACCTGGCACGTGGCCACAATTAAGGTTTCCCATCAAGTGGTGGACGTCTTATCCTTGATTGGTCGGGTCTCCTAAAATAAATAAGAGGCAAGTGAGGAAGGTCAAGAGATTGATTAGAGAGAGAGATGGAAGAAAAGGTCATCGTAAAGTACCGTCAGAGTACGAGAGCATCAAGCTCGGTGGGGATTGAGAGGAACCCCATATTTCGCAGACAGTTGGAGAAAGAGAAAAGATTATTTATAAATTTTCCTTCTAGAAGATTGACCACGTGTCACGGGTAAGTGACAACAAGTTTACTTAATACGTCTTAGTAGAAAGATAGACGTACTAGGCGCTTACGAGGGTATGTGCAGTACTGTACTTTCTATAAAAAAATTTATTTAATTTTATATCCTTTTATTATTTCCATAATATAACCATCGTGTTATTTATGAATTCATTAGTATATTTGATAAAGAAATTTCATTACAGTAAATTCTACATGGCTGTATTCATAAGTAGCCAAACATAGGGATTTTTTAAACAAAAAATAAACCTAAGCACTGTAATGCATTCTAAGATAAGATGAAATTTATTATTCTGAAACAAAAATACAGGAACTGAGTAACAATTTTAAATATAAAATATGATTTTTAGAGGACATATTAGACAGACGATTAATTAATAAAAAGCTATTATTTATAAATTTAATTTATTACCTAATTAGTATCATTCACTGTAACTGTAGTATTTCCCAGAATAAAATGGTGGCGATGTGCTAAATCTTGAATGTATATCAGTTCGCCACTATGGCTAAAAAATTCAAAAATTTACGCCACATGACGTCAATAACATTTTTTGTTTATTTATAAATTCAAATTTCTTGCAAAAAAATGTGAAAATTTTCAAGAAAACAACAACAGTTTAAACACATCTCAAAATTTTTAAATGTATGTTCAACATAAAGTTTCGTGTTCTACTTCGTAATAAACATGGAACTATTTTCCATTGCTCCATTATATAATTAAATAATTTTCTCGAATTCAAACAATGGTCTTATCATCTAGATTAACTCTAAATATATATATAGGATATATGTAATTTGAATATTGTTGAATATAGAATATGCAATTTAGGATGTTGAATTTAGGATGTAATTTTATATATTTGGAGTACATTTAAGAATTTTAATATTATTAATTTAATTCATATTTATGTATTTCATTTATATACAGATATGAGTTATAATTTAGGTAAAGTAATTAAATGTATAAATCTATAATTATTATTCAGAAAGGCAATAATATTAGAGTATGTCATAAATTATTTTAACATCACTTACAGTTTAAGATACTATTATATATNAATGTTAATACTACTTTTTTCACTTCATTAGATGATCTTAATTTTAAATTAAAACATGAAAAATCTATTTTTTAAAACCTATAATAACAATAGAAAATTTTAAAAAGTTTGTACCTGATTTCTTTTAATTCTATTTTTATGTAACACTTAATTTGTATACTGTATGTTGATATTCAAAATATGTTTATAACATTAAAAAAATTGTTCTTTTGACAAAGTTATTTTTGTATATGTATGAGTAAATAATATCGTTTTCGATACAAGAGCATTAAAAATTAAAAAATAGACCAATATAATTTTTGGTTTTAAAAAAGAAGTTTTGTCGCAAATGTCGTAAGTCCAAGGTTCCGTGGTGAAATGGGACGAGGCAACAATTATAAAACCAGTATCTTCCCCCACTTTATCAATGACGGCGGAGAAGATTGAAATATATAGGAATAGGCTACGTGAGGGATGTTTNAAAAATAAATAGTAATGTTATATCATCAAGAAAAGCAAAAACACCTAATTATGTCAGTTTAGTATAATTATTTTATTTCAAAAATTTATAAAAATTTATAAATATTAATTAAAACTAAAAAAAATTAAAATACGGAATGTATGTGTGTGGAATTTTTAAAAATAATTTAGATTGTAGAAGCTATAGATAATAATAATAATATATAAGTTTACAATTGCCAAATACAACACGAAATAAATTTTATTGTATGAAATAAATTAGAAAAAAACGATCCATTAAATAAAGAAACTTTCGACGTACAAAATGCCACATC